GGGGGGGGGGGATGGGAGGCATTCCTTGCGGAGGATGGGCTCGGGGACCGATCTGAGCAGGTGAGTCGGAGGGGAGGGAGGGATAGGAGTAGGTCGGACGTTTGGACACAGGTATGGACAGGTGTCGAGGCAGGGGTGTAGGACAGAAGGTGGGGGCTGCAGGGAACTCCAGAGGAGCGTTCTAGATATCCCGGGCACTTGGAGGGTGGCCCTCAGGAGCATCTGTACACGGGGGACATCCGGCTGCCCCCGTGGCACTGTGATGAGGGAGCCGACCCCCCAAAGGCTGAGAGGCAGGTCCCTGGCCAAGCCCTGCCCGCAGCGCTGCCCCTGGACAGCCAGGAGGAGGCCTCTGGCTCTGCTGAGGACCGTCCGTGGTCCTTCGTCCCGACCCCGTGGGAGGCAGCGGCTCCGGACGGGACCTCTCGGCTGGCACCTGTCCTGGGCCGCAGGCTCTGGCACTCGGCGACGTGGGGAGAGCTCCCCCTCACAGGACCACCTCGGGCGCGATGCTGAACAGGAGGTCATCATTCCCCCGACGCACCTCCAGCAGCAGAGGGGACTCCGTCAGGACGGCCTCCTGCAGCTCGCTCGAGTCCGCCAGCGGGCGCCCGTTGACCTTGACGATGATGTCGCCATCTTGGATGCCCCCCCTGCCGACGGAGAGACACCCGGTCACCGCACATCCCTGCAAGGCCAGGACCCCGCCCCGGGGGACGATCTGGTTGAACAGCAGCGGTTGGAGAAGAACCACTTCCGCAGGTGAAAACAGCACCCTGACTGCGGGGTTCCTACCCCAGTGGAAAACCAACGTCCTACGAGGGCCAGGGCTGTGTCAGCCTGCTTCTTCTACACGTTAGGAGGGCTGGGTCCAAGTGTAGGCTGCCGCCTTCCTAGCTGGGCTGCCTCAGGCCAGGCACTGGGCCCCTTTGAGCCTCAGCTTCTACACCTGCAGCCCTATGTGGGGACACGCTTGCAAATTGCAAATTGCGAGGTCCAGGACGCGGTGAGGGTTGACTAAGGAGGTGCGTATGGAACGCTGATTCACGCCTCGGCCACCGGCAGCCACCGTGATCCCTGGTCCCACCGCGCTGGCCCTGAGGGCGGCCGCCTGCTGAATAAGGGGCCTGAATAAGGGGCCGGAGCTGGGAGTTGACTCTTTGCCTTCATGGATCTGCGTTCTAACAACTTGTCCTGCAGGCCGGCTGCAGACCGAGCGCGTGTGCTGGGGGCCCGTGTTTTCCCGCACAAGCAACACGGCACATGCAAGAGGAGGGGGGTCCTGGTGGGGTGAAGGGGCCCCGCAGGGCTGCAGGCCTGCCTGCCTGGTTCCTCTCCACTCCACCGCCTGCCTTCGTGCCCCACGGCCCTTGAGCTTGACCTCCAGCTGTGTGAATTACCATTTAGACCACTGACGAATGCAGCCCACCCTCCAACAGCGGAGACCTGGGGCAAAGGAGGGAAGGGGCTCGTCAGAGCCCCTCTGGGCCTGGATCGGCCCACAAGGGTGCCGGGCCCGTGCCACACCGGCTGCCTCAGCTCATGGTGTTGGGAACAGTCAGTCTTTCCCAGCACTCGGTGGTCTCAAAGGAAACGGGGCTTTATCTCATCTGAGCTTGACCAAGTCTCCTCAGGGGACAAAGAGTGGGCTGAATCGTGTCCATCTTGCAGACAAGGAAGGAGGCCCAGGCTGGCGGGAGTCAGGCCGGCATGGGGTTTGAGCTCTGGGGGGGTCTCTACTGCTCTGTCTCCCCAGACCCAAAGGAAAGGACATTCTGGGGGCACCTAGGGGGCTCAGTCGGTTGAGGCTCTGACTTCAGCTTAGGTCATGATCTCACGGGTCGTGGGTTCAAGCCCCACGTCGGGCTCCGTGCTGACAGCTCAGAGCCTGGAGCCCGCTTCGGATTCTGTCTCCCTCTCTGCCCCTCCCCTGCTTCCACTCTGTATCTCTCTCTCTCTCTCTGTCAAAAATAAATCAATGTAAAATGACAATAAAAATAAAAATAAAAGGAAAGGATACTCTGAACCAAGGATGGTGACTGCCAATGCCCCAAGGAGAACTTCATCCTTCCAGCCTGCCCCTGGCTTAGACGACAAGCCGGAATCCCACCTGCCACATCCATGCCATATCACGTGCCAGGGGGCTCAAGTTCGTACAAGGTCACCGAGGCGAGCCCACCCTCGGCCTCATGCCCACCCAACCCCACCCACCAGGATGTCTGCTGGCCCCATCCAGCCTTCCTGCTTCCTGTAGGGCAGTCTACCTCTGAGAAGGTGAGTTTGGAACGACCTCCTGCACGTAGATCCCACTGCTGACCGATGGGAAGTCTGGGTCGCTGGCTTTCAGTTCTTCCAGCAAACTGAAAAGGCAGTTCCGTGGTTAAGGCACGTCTGCCCCCATCCTCACGTGGGGGCGGCTACAACCCCCAAACCCCTGGAGCCCCCCAGAAGCTGGGAGAGGCAAAGAAGGACTCTCCCTGCAGAGCCTTCGGTGGGAGCGCGTCCCTGCTGATGCCCTGATTTGGGACTACTGGCCTCCAGAAGTGTGAGAGAAGGAAGTTTGTGGTGATTTGCTACGGTAACCACAGAGGCTTCCTGGAGGAGGCAGCACCTGAAGGGAGCCTGAGGGAGCTGAGGAAACCTATGGGACAAAGGGGGAAATGGCACTGCAGGCAGAGGGACTGGCCTGAGCCCAGGCCTGGGAGTGCGAGTGCGTCTGGCCCACGGGAACACCTGCAGGCAGCCAGGCATGGCTGGACAGGGTCTGGGAGGAGAGAGGGGCAGCGGGAGTCATCCTTAGACACTCACCTCGGGGTGATGGTCCGCATCCGTATGCCGATGAAACGCTTCTTCCAGTCTGGGAACAAATCATGACAAGACTCCGTTAGAGCCTCTGTGAAAACCTCTGCCTTCCCTGAGGGGCCATGTGGGGACTAAATGTCCCCCAGGAGCCAAAAAAGCAGCGGGAGTCATTTGTGTAGTCACAGGCCTAGAGCTGCTTCTCTCCTCTAGGCTGCTCTTGAAGGGCTGGGAGATGTCCTGCCTCGTCTGGTGGCTTCATGCCCACCCCCGCCCTTAGGACCCACGCACCCATATCAGTTCCCACATCTGCTGTGTCGTGAGACCTACACCCAAACCCTGGTGGGCACTGGGGCTCTCCTCTCCAGCCTTATCTCCCAGATTTCCCAGCCTTGCCTGCTCAGATCTGAACTTGTCACCTTCTCCTGCCTTCCCCATAAATGATAATATTAGCCGATAATGCCCAGTGAGCACTAGCCACATGCCAGGCCCTCTGTTTAGAGCATCATACACACAACTTCCCCCTGGCTGCTCCAGCCTGTGACTTAGAAGGTGCCCTAGACCCAGAAATAACGTTTACCTTTCTTGAACCATAAGATATGTCTCAGTACATTTTAAAATGTCCTATCATAAAAACATGCTCTCTGACCACAGCAGAATTAAAGAAGTCTCCAAGAACTTAGAAACGAAATAACATACTTCTGAACAACCCGTTTTCAAAGAAGAAGTCAAACAGGAAACTAGAAAGGATTTTAAACTAAATAAAAATGGCAAAACGACATATCAAAACTGGTGGGATGCAGGTAAAGCAGTACGTGGAGGGCAATGAATAGCACCAAAGTGCCCATATCAAAAAAAAAAAAAAAAAAGGGTTTCACATCAATGACCTCAGCTTTCACCTTAAGAGCTAGAAAAAGAAGATCAGATGAAACCCAATGTAAGCAGAAGAAAGGAAATACCAAAGATTGGAAATCCGTGAAGTAGAAAACAGAAATATAATAGAGAAGATAAAACTTTAAGCTTTCAGCCACACTGATCAACCAAAATATGAAAAAAAGGACAAAGGAAAAGAGAAGATAATTATCCTCACCAGGACCACGAGAGGTGACATCACCACGGATCCTACAGGCATTAAAAGGGTCGTAAGACATCGCAATGAATAACTTGATGCCAATACATTTGATGACGCCGACAAAATGCACACGGTTTAAGTTTCCAAACTGCCAAATCTCACTCATGAAGCAGCAGACAACCACGTAACCTCACCTCTATTGTGAAAAACTGAATTTGTAGTTAAAAATCTTCCCACAAAGAAAACTTCAGGCCCAGGTGGTCCCACAGGAAAATTCTACTAAATGTTTAGTTAGGAAAGAGCACCGACTCTGCACAAACTCTTGTAGAACACTGAAAATGAGCAAATACTTCTGGGATATCATGATTTATAATGAGAAATACGTATTTTGATGTTTGTTTGTGGTTCCCAGCACACACCCCCTAACACTTTTGTAATCCCTGTGATAAAGGCTCCGGGGACATCTTTTGCTGTCAGATCCTGAAATGGTGACAGTGACAAATGTGAGATGGGTTTCTTCTGTTACCTACGCCACAAGCCCCTTGCAACCACTCCTGAGTATATGTTAGTGAGTGATTTTGAGAAGCCCCTAAGGAAGGGGCTGGTTGCTAGGGAAACCCACCCACGTGGCCAAGGGTCAAACTTTCAGCCCCGACTCCCAACCTGCCTCTGGGGAGAGGTGAGGGGCTGGAGGATGACATAATCACCATGGCAGGGATGTAACCAATCATGCCAACACCACGAAGCCCGAGAGGGTGGGTGGGAGAGCTTCCCAGTTGGTGATTCCTCGGAAGTACTCTGCGCCTCCCCCCAGACCTGCCCTGTGCGTCTCTTCCATTGTTCCTGAGTTACTCCCCTTTCTACATAAAATGGTCATCTAGCAAGTAACTGTTTTCCTGAGCTCTGTGAGCCACTCTAGCAAATGATCCAACCTGAGGAGGGGCCATGAGAACCCCCAGTCTATAGCCGGTGGGTCAGAAACACAGGTGATAGCCTGCACTTTTGATTGGCATCTGACTTGGGGGGCAGTCTTGTATGACCTTGATTGTGGGGTCTGACACTATCTCTAGGCAGACAGTGTCAGGCTCGGGGGAGAACAATAGGACAGCTAGCTAACTTTGGGAAGCCCCTCGCATTTGGTCCCCAGGGTGTCAGAAGTGACGCAGTGTCGTGGCAGAGAACTGAGGACAGATAAGAGGCACGGGAGGGGAGTTTTTCCTAAACAACTTCCCAACTATCATCCCGATACTAAAACCAGAAAACTAGACCCACACCCCTCTGGAAGACGGCTGCAAAAACCCTGTAGACATTTTCAGCGAACCAAATCCAACAATATGGAAAAAAGGATAATACCTCATGAGCAAGGGGGCTTTATCCCAGGAATACAAGGATGGTTCAACCCTCAAAACTCAGCCGACACAATTTGCCACATTAACAGACTCAAAACGAAGACCGCCGTCTCCAAAGGTCTAGAAAAAGTGTCTGACAAAATCTTCTAGCATCTGTGGCTTCTAAAACCCACGAATGGAAGGGAACTTTTTCCACCTGGGGTGGGACACCTGCGAGAGACCTTGAATGAGCATTCTGCTTACTGGTAGAAGACTAGAGACGTCTCTCCAAGGTCAGGAACAACGCAAGGACATCCTCTCTCACCACTTTTATTCAGTGTCTTATGCAGGCTCTGGGCAGACAAGAACAAAAGGCATCCGGACTGAAAGAAAGAGGCAAAAACTGCCTCTATCCACAGACTGCAGAATAATCTGCGTAGAAAATCAGATGAGGACACCTGGGTGGCTCAGTCGGTTAAGCATCTGACTTCCGCTCAGCCCATGATCTCACAGTTTGTAAGTTCTGGGGGAGGAATTGACAAGCTGATTCTAAAATCCGTACGGAGGGGCGCCTGGGTGGCTCAGATGGTTAAGCATCCGATTCTTGGTTTCGGCTCAGGTCAGGGTCTCACGGTTTTGTGAGTTCGAGTCCCGTACCTGGTTCTGTGCTGACAGCGTGGAGCCTGCTTGGGATTCTCTCTCTCTCTCTCTCTCTCTTCTCTCTCTGCCCCTCCCCTGCTCATGCTGCTGTCTCTCTCAAAATAAATAAACTTAAAAAAATAAATAAAATCCACATGAAAATGCAAAGGATCCAGAAAAACCAGACCGACTTTGGAGGCGGGACAGATTGGGAGGGCTGACGTTGCCTGACCTGAGGACACTGCAGAGCTGCGGAAATCTGGACGGACAGACAGACAAGTGGGGCAAGACAGGCTCATTTTTTTTTTTTTTTTTTTTTTTTTTTTTTTTTTTTGTTTTGACAAAGGAGCAGTTTAGGGGAGAAAAATACAGAGCGCCGGAACAACAGACTATCCAAAACAAAAACAAACAAAAAAGAATGTTGATTCATACTTTGCGCTATTAAAAAAATTAATTCAAAATACACCATCGTCCTGAGTCTAAGACCTCAAAAAGTAAACTTCTAGGGGCGCCTGGAGGGCTCTGTCAGTTAGGCATCCGACTTCAGCTCAGGTCATGATCTCACAATCCGTGAGTTCGAGCCCCGCATCGGGCTCTGTGCTGACAGCTCAGAGCCTGGAGCCCGCTTCCGATTCTGTGTCTCCCTCCCTGCCCCTCCCCCACTCACCCTCTGTCTCTCTCTCTCTGTCTATTGAAAATGAATGAACGTTAAAAAATTTTAAAATAAATAAAAAACAAAGTAAACTGCTAGAGGAAAAGGTAGGAGAAAATATTCCTGGCCTTTGGTTAGCAAAGATTTCCTAAATACAACACCACATGCACGATCCATTTAAAAAACTTTGTTAAATGAGACGTCATAAAAATTCACAAAACTTCTCTTGGAAGACACCGTTTAGGGAACAAAAAGTGAGGCCACGGGAGGAAACATTTGCAGCTCGTGTCTCTGACAAAGGCTCCTATCCACAATGCTCTCAAAACCTGCTAAGGACACAGACAGCCCCATCTTTTTAAGTGGGCAAAATATCTAAACAGGTTTTTCTGCACAGAAGATACAAGTTGCCACCGAATCGGGGGCTCACGGCGCTTCGCCCAGGCGCCCCACACCCACCTCTCCTCTGCCTGTCGTGGTTCGGGCTCTTCAGGTCTTTGTAGAGACCCCTCGAGGTAGGTGGGGCCAACTGTACCCGTGAGGCGAATCTGGCAAGGCGTGTGGTGAGAGGCTTGGCCTGTAATGGCGTCCATGGCCTGGGGCTTGTAGCTTTCTGGGGAAATGGGGTGAGGCCTTCGATGCTGTTATTAAAATCCAGGCAAATCTGCCTTTCTTGTGCTAGAGCATTAGGGAGGGCTCAGGAGAATGAGAGGAACCCCTAGGGGCTTAGGGCTCAGCTAACGCCTCGCTTCCTCCTTGCAGGTATCGGAATCTTGGACCCCTTGAGTAGCAGGAGTCCCCAAGTCCCACCACCACATGGCGGCCTGAAGGTGGGAGCGGAACTTGGAAGATGCCTTGAATTCTCTAATCATGGTTGGGCTGGGGGGCCTCCCGGGAGGCATGACCTGTTTGTTGCCCCTGCCCCCAAGCCTCAGGGTTGGGAGGTGACCCTGTATGCAGCCAGGCAGGGACCATGCCCTGACCTGGGCAGGGGAGCATTGCACAGGTCGGCCGGGTCACGGGCTCTGTGGCCCCCCCCATCCCATGCTGCTGCCACGCATGGTGCGGTGGGGGCATCCCTCGCCCCGGCCCCAGCCCTGTTGGGGTCTGCCTCTGCCCCAGGCTGTCTGCCCTGGGCCCCAGAGAGAGCAGGGGCTCATTCCCATCCCAGGGAGAGCTCTCCAGAACCAAAGTCTGCCTGTAGGAAACTGCCTGGGCCCTGAGAGTGAATTGAAACAATTCTCACTTGGCCAACAGGGCAAGGCAGACATGAGGAGCAGGAGGGGCTCTGCAGGGAGTGCAAAGCAGGGGAGGCTTCCTGGAGGAGGGAGAATTCAACTTCACTGTGAGATCGAAAATCTGGGGGCTGA